TTCTCGTTCGTATTCCTCCCACCCACGAGACCCCTCTGCTGCTTGATGCACGTAAATTGACATATGGTACTCAAGGGTTTGTTGAGAGCGAGTGAGATCAGCTTATTCGAAGTGCACGACAATGTGAGCGGCCTAGTAGCAGAGGGCTTGCGCATGCAGAGCTGCTCGTCCCCTTCCTCTATTCCCTTGGCTAGAAATATGGTCCAGGGTATGAATGTACAAACGGTATAAAGCAGCTGTCCCCAAAGTCCCAGAGTTGCTCCAACCGCTATGCGGGATCCCGTCGGGGCCAGGGGCGCTGTCGTGGGCTCTACTCATCATCTTGAAAAACTCCTCCTCCTCCAGCCTCCACTGAATATTGCCAGGAATCTGGGGGGCATCAGAAAGCAGCTCGCACATTGCCGCGGGATCAGCACCCGCGGCTCTGTGTATTTGTCCCCAGTGTCGGGCGAGTTCCTTCGCTCCTGCACGCGGGTCAAAAATCGGCGCGCCGAGCGGGTCCGCAATCGCCTGCAGCGAAGTACTGGCGCCTCGAGCTGTCCAGGCTGAGCGGTAAGTGTATAACGTGTGGGTCTTTTGTTGCTTCCGTGTTTGGGACATGTCTGGGTCATTCTGGACAAGCTCGATCTGGCTATCGATCTGCTGCCACTTGAGCGATGCCAGCAGGTGATGGAAGCCGACGAAGTCCGAGAACCGACAGGACTCAACATCAAAGAACTGCTGGAGCCCAGGGCACGCCTGCACGGCACGCCTCAAGACAGACTGGGACCCAGATCTTTCGGCCCGCATAGCAGCCAACGCCCAAGACACGTACTCTGGGAGCGAATGGGCCCCGCGCTGTTCCAAAATGCCCAAGACCTTCTTTGAGGCCGCCTGGGTGCCCTCCCGCAGTTCCTCCACCGCCTCCAAGGGATTCTCCGATAGCTGACCAGCCCCTTCCAAAATCTCGCCCAGGACCTTCGGGAACATAGGGTGCTTGGTGACCCAGGACTTGACCGTGAGGATCCCGTCGGGGCATTTGGGGGCCATAACCATATACACAGGTACATGATCAGAGAGTGTGGTGGGGTCAGCAGGGCACCCGAGGACGCCCGAGGATGGCGCGAAATCGAATAGCACGCCAGGAGGGATACTAGTATAAATGCGATCCAGACGAGCGAGCGACTTGATGGCCGTGTGGCCCTCGACAGACTCCTCCACCCCGTGGGTGAACTGCGGCTGCTCAACCTCCGCCAAGAACGGAAACATCTCGATAAAGTGCTTGGCCAGCCGGTGTGAAGGATGAATCAGGCGGCCGGGTAGCCGGCAGCTGCCTTCACCAGCAGCTGGGAAGTTAAAGTCTCCACAGACAAAGACGGAACACTGCGCACGCGGCAAAAGAACAAGCCGCACTCGATCCAGTTGCTGACGCCTACTCCGAGTCGGTATCCCAGGGTCACTATGAATATTGACTACTTGTGCCGCGCGCGTGTGGTTGTGAAGAACAATGCTGTGAATACGACCCTCAGCTAGAACGCGATGACGGATATTCGAGAGGATAGCCCGAAGAGCAGGTTTGGCATAGATGATACATCCTCCAGTGTGGGGGTTGTCCATGAACGAGGCAAAACCTTCGAGTTGCAAAACTTCCCGCTCTAACGCTCTAAAGCATTCGTCCGACCCCCGAGCCTCCTGGATGCACACTATATCGCGTTGTTGAGTCAACTTGATAACAAACCTGATCCTTGCTTTGTGGGCGTGCTGGGGGGCGACGATGGTACCAAAGAGCGAGCGGGCATTCCACGAGACAATTGAGAATCGCTGCGCAGGCAGGAAAGGGCGGCAATCGGCAGGCAGCTGCGGCCAGCTGCTGCCATGGTGAGAAGATCCCGACGAAGAAGAGCTGGACGAAGGTGAAGAGGTAGAACTCGCCGATGAGGTGCTGGAAGTGCTTGAAGAAGTGGAACTCGCTGAAGAGGCTGTTGCTCTCCTACGTTGCCGTCGCCGCCGTCGAATTCGAACTGGTAGCGCATCGGCATCTCGATGTGGCCCGACGATGTCCTGGTCGTCCGCTGTCGCCAGCGTGCCCGTGCACGACGAGGCGGTGCTGGCTCCCACACAGCGCTGGACACCCAATCCAGAGACATGGCCAGTAGCGGCAGATGCTTCCCTTGCCTCAGGTGGTCGGTACCCTCTGCTGTCGGCTGCGCCCCGCAGCTCGGACAGTGAGCAGTGCGTGCCGCCTGGGCTCTCGGCATGCAAGATGGCGAACGATCGAGATGGCATGGTCGCGCCCTACAGCAAAATGCCGTCGATGGTGCTGGCGATGACAGCATCTGTGAAGCCAAGCTTCTTGAGCTCAGTCGCATTGGGCGTGATGTCCATCTGCCCGCTGTCTGAGCCCTTCACTTCGAAGAGCTCGGCCGTTTCGTCACCAGATATCAACCAAAGCTTCCCTCGGAATCCCTGTGCGCCGAGCTTGTACGAATCATTCCATTTGTTCGTGCTGCGCGCCACATCCATCACCTTAGACCAGAGTACGCCAAGCACGCGGCTGATTTTCTTGATCTCAGGCGGGGCATCCATGCGAATCTTCAATCTGATGGTGGCGCGGTTGGTCGGGTCATCCCATGTCACGCCGAGGGTGCGGGCTCTGGAAAGGAAGTCCTTCGCATTAGAATTCGATTCGAAAATGATGCTATACGCTGACTGGAAGTTGTGGACCTTTGGCATAGCCGTGACTCCATCTGGTACATGTCGTTTGGTCAAGTCTGTAGCATGCTTAGTCATGACCGTGCCCATCATCGCACGTGGGAAACCTGCAATCCATATCTTACAGTTATTCGAGTCATTGCCTTGGCTTGATGGTGACCCCGCATTCGAGGCCCTCGATGAATGAGTTTGAGAACGTAATGCGGCAATTTCAGTTTTGGCCTTGGTCGTGTCGCTCTTCACTTGCTCGATGGAGACTGTGATTGCGCGTTGGCCCTCGGCGTTGGCGGCTGCGGCGGCGTCGGCTTGGCTGGCTTGGGCTTTGACCTCCAGGTTGACAATGCGCTCATTCATGGCCGCGAGCTGGTTGTCGTGCTCAGCCAACGAGGTCTTAACTCCAAGGATATCTTCTTTTGTGGCAAGAGCAGCTTGACCATTCTGGATGTTGGTGAGCATATCAAAGAGCCGTGACATGTCCGAGTTGCAATTCCCGCCCTTGCCATCTCCTTTCTCCATGACGCGCGGGAACTTGAGGCCTCGTCCATCAGAGCACGCAGCCTCGATGATCTCCATACCCTCAAACGCCATCTGCTGCAACAGCGGAGCGGAAACAAGAACTGCTCACCTGCGGGCACAGGAGGCAGGCGGTCAGTGGGGCGGACCACTGAGAGCAAGAGGGATGTCGAGCGAAATCGCTCTGGCACTGCCGCGGACTAGCGGTATCCGTGAGTGCCAATGCGGGCTCAGCCCGCCAAAGCATAGCCTTGAGCCAAAATGGCTACGGAGGGAGGAGGAGGCTGAGGAGAAGCAGGGAAGGGCTCGTAGCTGGAAAGAGCATCCAGCACACGACGGAAGCATGCTGAGAAGGCCACGTCGGCAAGTGCCTCGGCACGCGTGGCACGCGTGGCAAGTAAAGGTACATGTGAAAACACGACAGTTGTCGACGTTGATGTTCTGATCGCAGCGGGCCAAGGGTTTTCGTCTGTCGTTCTGTACACGGGTGTGCCGTCCAACACGGACTGCATTCTGATCAAGATCGAAGGCCGGCCAAAGCCCAGACGGGTGAGAGCAGCAAGGGCGCCAGGCAGGAAACGATCCAGTAGCAGGAAAAGGGATGAAAGGCAGAAGCGGGAGGAGTGGAGGAGGTAGAGGCTAGGAACGGGCGTGGCGCTCACAGCAGGAAAATATCTGACTCTTTCTAGTTTCCTTGTAGCCTTCGACGCGTCAACATTTCGCAAGTCCTCCGGCTTCAGCGACGATGCAACTTTCGCTCTCCTGTCTCGGTGGGCGTCGCTCTTATCGGGAATACCCGTTCCCGTGGCTGCTCCTTGATCTTTACTGCGGCGCTGCCCGCTTGAATCTTGACCCCGCAGCATTCAGACTAGTGTCAAAAGCGCTCCATCTCAACTCCGTCTATGATTCCAATATCTGCCAGGTTCTGAGGACCATAAACTCGGCGGAGAGCCTCTTTCAGCGCCGCTCCATCGAGTGCCGTTCTCGTATCTCGCCTGAGGCCTGATCCTTCGTGGGTTAAGTAGGCGCACGCTGATCTGGCAGTAATCAAGAAATCTCGGCTTCGCCGTGTGATAATATCACGTCCCTTATTGAGGTCCAGCTGTGTGTTGAGCACCTCTTCCAACAGAAAAGAAAGGTACAGTCCAGCCGCAAGAGAATCTGCTGAATATGAGGCCACCGGGCACTCCTGCACACTCGCCGGGCAGATCTTGCAAAGTAGTCAATCCTAGCTGCTCTGACCAAGCCACATTTCAAAAGATCGCGCTCCGCTATAAAAGAGCATGCGGCCTCCGATACTGTTGCACATGGCTAATTATCTCGGCGCTCTCGAGGCTACCATTCACATGGCTAGAGTCGCACATACTCAAAACCAATATTTTCTCAACATCGGTTCCTTTTGGGAACCGCTGCATGCCGCCTTCACCCCTTCTGCGATTGCTGATGGCAGCGTTGACGTTCACCGAGTACGCGAAACAAGGAGGAAGGAGGAACCGGGTAAAACAGAAGAGGGTTACGTAGAATGTTCGCTCTGGGGGCCGTCCTGGAGCCACTTGCTCCTCTCGTGCGTCGATGCTGCGTCGAACGTCCATCGATGTGAGTCGAACTTGAGCCGAAATGGAGTCGAGCTAAGGTCGAACTATATTCGAATTGTATTCGAGCTGGAGCCGAAGAGACACGTGGGATGGCCCCCAGGAAGGTCCCCCAAGCGAACATCTAAGCAGGGAGGGAAGGGGGGAAGTCGAGGAAGGAAACGAGGCGGTCCAGGCGGGTCCGTTGAGCGCCGGCCGAGCCGCCTCGACGATGCCGAGGACGCCACGGCCCCGCAGGAACGTTATCAGGTCCTTCGGTGCGGCCGCAACCGAGACCACTGCCGCTACCTAAACCACCGCCAGGGGCACTGTCAACGAATCCACCACCGTGCCACGAGGCACCCGCTGGAGTGTCTCATTCGGCACACCAACATCGAAATGGAAGACTACACCACACGTACGGTCGGCTTCGGAAGTCCTGAAACCCAAAAAATGGTCTCCTCCCCTGGAGGCCCATCGTTCACTTCCGCCGCCGCCCGCCGGCCTTCCGCTGGCTTCCACCAGTTGTTCAGGGACCGACCGTCCCGACATTCCTATAGTCATACCACGAAATGTTCTTAGAACCCAAAGATGATCCAATAACAAAAACAAGGTTCTTAGAACATAAACCCGATGGGATAAAACAAGACAGCCTCCGCCAGAAATGTTCTAAGAACATTTCGTGGAAACCACAAAAGGTTCATAGATCATAGAACATTGTTTGATAGGGCTATAGGCGAGCCGCAGCCAAAAACCCTAATAAGGACGCGAGGTAAGGACGCTTGGAAGCCGAAGTTGGGATTTTCGGGGCGGCGGACGAAGAAAACCCCAAGGACGCAAGAGCAAGGAAGAGCAAGGACGCAACAAAGTCGCGCGTCCTTCTTAGGGTTTTTGACTGTATCAGAGTATACCAACTGATCAACCAATCCGCCGACCCCCGCTTGCCGGGGGTGCAAAGGCGTGTGAGACAAGTGGCTGCTCCCCTTCCTTTTTCCCCCCTCCCCCGGAGCTCCAAACCGCATTAGAGGGGGCGGGGCCTGGGTGGGGGGGGGGGGGCCCAGGGAGAGGGGGAGGGCGCGCTCCGACGGTCCACAAGGCCACCAAGATCGTCCCAAGATGGCCCAAGAAGCTCCAAGAGCACCCCAAAATTTCCCAAAGAGGGGCCCAAGAAGAAGGGGAACCCGAACTGACAACTCCAGCTCTCCGCTTCAAGAACCCCCCCCGGAGGCCCCAAGACGCCCCCAAGAGGCCCCAGGGGCCCCCCAGCAGGCTCAAGAGAAGCCAAAAACAGCCCCCCGCTCCCAAGGAGCAACACAAGCCCCTAGAGGTTTCCAAACTGCCTTCAGGAGGCTCCCGAGAGGCTTCTCACGGGCATCCCCGACCCGTGAACTTCTCTCCTCTTTCTGGGGTCGGCGGTATGCGTCAGCCTCTAAGGTACAGATTGACTCTTGAAGGGGCCCAGACCCCTAAATTCTGGGGCTCCCCGCGTGACTTCCTGAGGTGTTCCGCATGGCTGCCGGAATGGCCCGCGAGAGTTTCCCAGAGAGCACAAAGACTGCTCAAAAGAGTCTGGCGATGGCCCCCGAGACAGTCCAAGAGGGTCCCGGCATGGCCGAAGTGCACACCAAGACGGCCCATGATGGTATCAGCACGGCGCAAGAAGCCCCCGAGCCGCCTCAACAGGGATCCATGTGGACCCCCAGGGAGGGCCCCGAGACGCTAAAGTACTGTAATGTGCTCTCGTCCTTGAACAATGTTGGGACCTTTGCGTTCGAAGATGAGGACTTACACGACGGCACAATAAACTTCCAATATCAATGCAAGACGGCCCAAGAGGCCTCCAAAAGGACCCCAACATGGCCAAACACGCCTCCAGGATGGCCGGAAAGGCCCTCAAGACG